AAAATAAAGCTAGTTCAATCAGAAGTGAATTAAATGGTGAAAATCCGATCTTAGCAATTCACCCTTCTGCTAATTCTTATGTTTCTTTTAGCAGTTTAATTACTAGTCCTTATGTGGTGAAAAATGAGGTAGGGAGTTGAAATCCTTCTACTTGACTGGTATTGTTTATGCATAATGGCGGCGGCATAACTCCTTCTGATTTAGATGGATATTTTAAACCTTTGGATATTGTGCAAATAAAACAATTTGAAAGAAAATTTGGAGTAAGATTTTATCATGTTGGTATTTACTTAGGTGATGTAGGTAATGGTAAGAGAATTTGCCATTTTTCTCGTGAAAGTAATGGTGTCCGTCTTGCTAGTTGAAGTGAATTTTTAAGCAAAGATAGAATTGGTGAATTGTATAGATATCACCCAACGATACCTTTTAAGAACTCAAAGAGAATGGCCGAGCAAATTGCTTGATCCGTTGAAACTAAATTTCAAGAAGATCGATATGATTTACGGAATAGAAACTGTGAACATTTCGCGAATATGTGTGTTTATGGGATAAATTACTCAAAACAGGTAGAAGATAATAAAACAGAACTTGCTGCTTCAGTTGGTGTTCCTGGTGCTATTGTTGCGGGAGGTTTTACAGGAGCAGGTCTCTGGGGTGTTATTGGTTCAATTGCTTTGGTTCCTGCTACCGGGGGAGCATCTTTGCTATTGGGGGCTACCTCAGTCGGAGCGGCAGGAGCAGTGGTTGCTACTACTTTGAATGTGGCAGATGGATATGCTGAAATCAATAACGGTAAAGGTTCCACTATCAAACTAATTAACGAAATGAATGAAAGCAATAATAAGTTAGGCGAAAGAAGCAACAAATTAGCAGATGATATAAAAGCTAATATTGAAGTTCCGCCTAAGGAACATTGCAGAATAATGTAGGTTATGATTGGAAGGGGTTATGGAGTTGATTTAATGATTATTTTCTTCTCTTCTCTTTTTTTATTACTTATCATTTTTTTCTTTCTTCCGAAATTAGCTTCCAAGAAAAGATTTGGACTAAAATATTTTTGATTATCTTTAATTGTTCTTTCTTTAGCATTATTTTTTTTAGTAGTTGGGATGGAAGGGTGATGAATTTAATTAATAAAAACTAAAAGATATGAAAGCCAATATTTACAAGAGGTTCCACCCAAAGATGATTGTAAAATAATGTAGTTATGATTTTCTCACCCATTTTACTTACTTTTTTATTATTATCACTTCTTTCATTTATACCTATATTCGTGTTCATGGTGTGATGGATGAAATTCAAATTAAACAATATTTGGGCACTTCTAACTATTTTTTTATTTTTTTTAAATCTTTTGATTATTATTCTGTCATTTCCTCCTGTTCCTTCTTCGCCACTATCTTTCCTTGATGAATTGTTTGTATTGTTTTTTTATTTTTTATTCTTTTTTTCTTATGTATTATGATCTATTACAGGGAAGAGAAGTAAGAAGAAATCAAAAAAATAACCTTAAAAAGATTTAAAGATAAGTTGATAGAAAACATTAGTTTATTGAAAGTCTTCTTTTTTTAAATTACTGAGAGAGGTTTTAACTAATAACACGTTTTCGTGGTGTTTGATATTTGGAGAATAATAGGGAGCCAAAGCAGTAATTTTTTTATTTTCTTTTAATACATTAGCAAGAATATTGGGGTTATCAACAATTACGATATCACAATTAGGAGCATTTTCTTTAATTCATTGGCTTTTACTTTGCCCTTTACCCTCACTTTCAAATCCGATTAAATTTAAAGAACAGTTAGAAAATTTGCCAAAAGTTTCGCTAAATATTTTCTTTTTGCGTGGGTCACCGTTTGCAAAATCTTTTTTATTATAGGCAGATAAAAAAATAATTTGTTCTACTTTATTTTCCTTAGTTAGCATTAATAACTCTTTGGCGATGGTTAAAAAAGGAGCTTTTTCATAAAAATCAGGTTCATTTTTAATTTTCTCGACTTTACTTTTGATACTTCTCACACTAAGAGCGAACCCACCACTTTCACTTAGACAACTATTTACCATATCTTTATCAGTATAAATAGAATGGCTACCATAATCAGAAAAATAAACGGGTGGATTTAACCAAAAGTTCTTAAATCATTCCTCAAATTTAGTTCCGTTGGGCATTCATCAAGGAGCATCGTAATAAGCACCCTCACGTTCTGATAATTCATAATATGCTTTGGGTTCTAATGGTTGGATTACTTCGTCCCAATCACAAACAATTTTTAGTTTTTGAGGAGCGTCCTTGAAATGACTATATAGGCAATTAATATTTATCCGCTTTTTGGCTTCTTCTTGGTATTTTTTTTCCTCCATTTACCAGTTTTTTAGTATATAGTTAGTTTATGCTTTCCTATTAAAAGAACTGGTAAATTACTTTGTAATAGAAGAACGTTTAATTTTTAAATAAAAATATTTTAACCACTTGCTTAAATTATAAACTGAAAGCGAAAGAGTTAACAAATACAAAATTAACAGACTAACCCCAACAAAGATTGCTCCGCTCTCTATAAAATTAATAGCTTTTGGTATGTCAATCAAACTAGTAAAAAAACAATAAACATTTAAAAAAAGAAATGTTATTTTAGTTCAGTTTATCGATGAACGTGATTTAGACGTTTTGTTCCGGTGGTTGTTAATTACCATATTTACCATAATAAATAATAGCGAAGTTTAAAAAAATATAAAAAAACTCAAATAAGCAAGCACTAAAAAAACCGCAAAAGTCGCCAAGTCTGTAAAAAATTTTTTAGAACTAAATCGATAAGAACAAAGAGCAGGACAAAAATTATCATCTACTGTTAAACCAACTACTAATCCAGTAAGGATAAAAAGAAAAAAAAGAGCTACCATCTGCCTCCTTCTTCCTGCACTTATAACTTTCATTACTGTAAAAATTAACTCTGAACCAAGTGTTAGTCAAAGAAGGAAAAACATTAGAGCGAGTAGGAAAAGTCTTACCAAAATCCCTAATATTCTCCTCTTTGACTTTGTTTTCATTATCAACTCTTCTTTGGTTTTTTGTTATTTTTTTAGATATAAAATTACTACTAATAAAACCTAGTAGTCAAGTCATTAAGTTTTTGTTAACTAGGTTTAGCCTAGTTTAGTTGATCTGGAACTTTTTTGGTGCCACTCAGGCACGGGACGGCTCGACTACGAGTGATAAATAGTCAGCGTTGAAATAGTTTTGGCATGATAAATATTAAATTTATGTTTTTATTTTTTATTATATTTTATAATTACATTTTATAAGTATTTGGATTTTTATTTTTGTATTATTTTAAAAAAATTTATACATTTATATAGTAGATATGAAGCCGACTGTTACTAAGTTAGAATACGAAAAGATAAAAAAAGATGCCTTGGTTATTGATGTGCGGAGTAAATTAGAGCATCAAACTCTCCTTGCCTTACCCAATAGTGTTAACATTTATTATGAGGATTTAATGAATAATCCCACTAAATATATTTCTAATCAAAGCCAATTAATTATTACCTACTGCAATTTAGGTAATCGTTCGGGACAAGCCGCAGAGTTTTTGCACCAGCGAGGATATCAAGTTTTTGTTTTAGAAGGTGGTATAGAAAATTATTTTAAGGAAAAAGTTAAGAGTAAATAATTAAACAAATTTCTGGTGAAAATTTAAAGATATAAAAAAATCTCTTAAAACAGTATTATTGAATAATTTTTAAGTGCCTATAGCTCAGTGGATTAGAGTGTTTGACTTCGGATCAAAAGATCCAGTGTCAATTCACTGGTGACCCACACCAACTAACTTTATAATTTTCTTATTTTTTCAAAAACTAATCAACAATTTTCTTATATATTATATATTTTTAGGTATGACTCTGTTTACTTAAATAGTTTTGTCTAATTAAAAAAGGTGTAAGTATGAGATAGGAAATAATAATGAAAAACTAAATTAGGGGGAGTTTACTTTGCAGTTCTCCCCCATAAAAATCCAAAAAATTTCAGTATGAAAAACTGCAAAAATCAAACAAGCCTACAAGGCAAAAATAATATCCGTTTACACGATTATCAAGCATGATTACAAAATAAAAACTTTGCTTCAGAAACTATCAAAAAGTATTTACGAATAATTAAACAATATGGGAAAAAAGTAATAAACACTAACTCTATTACTAATTTCCTCCGCGAAAACTTAACTAAATGTGAACCGGCTACTTTAAGAGGCAAAAGAAATGTTTTGGCTTCTTATAGTAAATTTCTGAAAATACATACCACAATTGAATGAGAAAATATTAGCAAAATAATTCCCCAAGTCCAAAAGAAATTCTTTGCTACTATTAGTTATGAGGAACTAGAGCAATTGAAAGCAACTCAAACCAAAACTAAGCCAAAAACTAACCAAAGAAATAAACTCATTCTTGATTTCTTATTCTATACTGGTTTAAGAGTTAATGAGTTAATAAATATTCGCCATAGTGACTATCAAAAGGGACTTTTAAGAATATTAGGTAAAGGTAATAAAGTCCGCTATGTGCTTTTACCGGAATTTCTAACTAAATATTTTGATCCTTATTCTAAAAACTATCTTTTTCTAACTCGTAATGGAAAAAAACTCACTAAGGGGCAAAATAGAAGAAATATTAAAAGAAAATGTCGGCAAGCGGGAATCAAGAAAAATATTTCTCCGCATTCTTTTCGGCGAAGTTTAGCGACAAATCTTTACAATAGTGGTGGTAAATTAGAGACTATTCAAAAACAATTAGGTCATACTAGTTTAGATACTACTCTTGGCTATATTTATAATGATTATCAAACTTTATATGCTGATTATTCGAAATTATGGCTTGTAAAAAGTGCTTAGGTTGCTAAGAAAATAAGGACTTATTTCTTTCTAAGTTTACAAAATATTAAAAATTAAGTTAAAATTTAAATATATAGAAGTATATAATATAAATACAATGAATAGAAACAGAAATGTTAATCAAGTTCCGGCAATAGAAATAGCAGAATATTTTCTTTCCCTAGATCCTAAAAGAGAGTATTTTACTAAAGATAAAATGATAAAAGTAGAGGGGAATTCTGTGCCAACAGAGGGTAATCTTCGCCTTAATAAGTTATTACAAATCACTCAAATGCTTTACGCGGCAAAAGAAGGAAAATATTTATTTCCAGAAAAGTTTTGGGCCTTTGAACACGGCGGAATAATTTATGACATCTATCATCAGTTTCATTTTCTAGTTACTCCCCATCGATATATCTCGTTTAAGGACTTAACCACTAATTTAAAAACCTTTCTTACTAAGATTTTTGATTATTTCAAGACTTATTCTAACCAACAATTAGAGGATTTTGTTCATGAAGATCCCGCTTGATTTACAACCTGAGACAACAAAAAAAGTAAAGAGATGCCTCAGAGTCCAGAAATGATTAAGTATTATCAAAAATTTGCTTTACACATAGCCGAGAAAGTAACTCTTTAAACTTTAAAAAAAATGAGCAAGGGTATACCGAGATTAAACCAAATTATTTTTATCGATCTTGATTACAAAGATGAATGAGATATAATAAAAAGAGGTAGACCTTGCTTAATAACTAAAATAAAAGAGGAAGATGGACATTTTCTTTTTCGCTTGTTAACTATTACTTCTCAAAATGAAGAAGAAATTAAAGAAGAAAAACAAAAACAATTTATTTCGCAGTATGAAATTCGTAAATTACCAGACTGTTTAAAAATTGATCCCTCTTTTGTTAGAATCCATCGTCACGTAAATTTAAAAATTGCCAAAAGCAGACTAACTAAGTTACTTTGCAACAAGTGTTATCAAGGATGTTTTAAATGACTTGAGGAAAAAAACCTAAATGAGTATGATTTCATTGTGCAAAAGTATGAAGATTATCGTAGCGATAAATTAAATTCTTCCAAGTTATTACCACCTATCGAAATTGAAATAGAAGAAGATAAAAAGAAGTAATATGGAAATCACTACCAGTAATCTAATCAGAATAATCGCCAGTAGTTTTCTAGTTGGAATGATGACTACTATGTTTCTCCGTGGTCTAACCAAATGAATTTGAAGGATTATTCTGATCGGAGGATTGTTATTACTTTTATCTAAATTAATTCCCCAAAGTTAAAAGAACTAGCAATCGTTGACATTTATGTTCGTGAATGAGTTCCTTATGTTGAAAGAGATTATCGACTAATTTTCTGATTTAAAGATCACACCACTAATCATTTATGAATTAGAAATTGTTATCCCATTGATTAATTGTTGTTAATAATTAGGAAGTAGAAAACAATACTGTTAATTGTTCAGGCTAATAAATATATAAAATTTACATACCATTAATTCATTTACCATAAAATATAGTATATGAAAAATAAAGTAGTTAAGTGTGATAAATGTCGCAAGGAATTTATCCAAAAATGAGTAGCAGCAAAAAAGCAATGAAGTCAAATTAGTGAAGTAAATTACTGAACGAATGGCGAAAAATGAAATGGTTACGAAAAATTATGCCGTTCTTGCTTAAAGAATTGATATGAAGAAGACCGAGAAAGTTTTGATAAACTTGTAGACAAAAATAAACAAAAGGTTTTTCTTCGCTATAAATATAATGGCTATCTAGATAAAAGTGATAGTGTAGATAGCGAAGATGAGGTCAAGCGCAATATTAACAACAAAATAGTAGAAAATTACTTGCGAAATAAAGAATGACTAGATTGATTTTTAAAAAGGCATGAAGATTTTTTATCAAATGTTGGTTATACCCAAGAGAAAAGTAACAATAGGGAAATAATTACTGAATATTTTACCGCACGAGAGCAAAAAATAATTAGTTGTGGTTTATCAAGTATATACATGAGTGAAAAATTTAGAGGGTGTCTATCAGATGCCCCCAACTTATCACTAGATCAATTTCAAGAATTATGCTTTTTTTGATGAAACTCACTGTTTAATAAATACCCGATCCTAGCAAGCAAAGGGAGAATAAATGAAGCAGAAAAAAAGGAAATGTATAAATTGGTTTCCGAAAAACGTTTAGAAAAGGCAAAAAGAGAAGTGGAGGATAACTTGTATTTTATTTTAGAACAATATTTAGATGAGAACGAACTGCCAACTCCTAAAGTATACCTTGATTATCAAAAAGAAGAAGATATAACAAAAAGAGCAGAATTGTATAAAAAATGCGACATTCATGCTAAAAAATACCGAGCGAATAGAATAATAAAAACAAAAGAGTTTCACGAAAAAAACAAAGATAAATATCCTGAACTTAAAGATCTGATTGAAAGCGAACTAAAAGAAGAAGAAAGAGTAATAAAGAATCTAGAAGAAACGATAAAAACATTCGACTACTTAAAATGAAGTGAAAATTATAAAAGTTACTAGAAAATAAGCACAATTGTGAGATTTGATTATTTTTTCAAAACCATTCAGTAATTAGGCAAAATTGCTTGATTTTTAGCGGGTTTTTAAAGAGTTTAATGTTTTACTATGGGTTTGAAAATAGTTAAGCAATATTTAGGTGAAAATGGTTATTAGAGAGGGAAAATTTATGGTTAATTAACTTTCTCCCTAGATTTTTATTTGGGTGGGATTTGAATTTGGGCTTGGGTAGAAGATTGTTCTTGGGGATCTTCTTGGATATTTAATTCTTGTATAAGGTTATTAATGTTTAGTTCTGAATCTTTAGAACCATGCATATTTCAGAATTGTTCATTAATTTCTTTACTGTTTTGGGGTTTAGGTAGATTTTTAAAGTCTAATAGTTTGCTGGTATATTTATCAGTTTCCTGGTTAACTAATGGTTTAGTAGGTAAAGAATTAATTGCTGGTAGTAAGAATTGGTGTTGATGATAGAGTTCAGTGTTTTTTTTTATAGAATAGTTTGGATCAAATCAACTACTTGAAATACTCCGTAGTTCACCAACAGTTAGTCTTTTTTTAGGTTCTGCATCCCAACACCTACTAATTAAGTCTTTCAGTAATTGGGGAATAATAACTGGTTCTAAATTAGGTCGTAATCCTTGACAGATTTGAATTGCTAAAGAAGTATCATAATCCCTTTCGGGATAAGGAGTTAACCCAGAAAATATTTCATACATAATCATACCCCAAGAATAAATGTCACTAGCTTGACTATAGGGTTGACCACTTAATACCTCCGGAGCGACATAAGGTAGCACTCCATAAATTTTTCCACTTTCCTTGGTGGCATTAACTGGTTTGCTTAAACCTAAATCAGAGATATGACTAAAAACACGGTTATTCTGTAATGCATTCAACACATTGCCACTATGGAAATCTTTGTGGATTAAATTAGCTTGATGGATTGAACATAAACCTTGGGTAATATCAAGCAATTGTTTAAGTTTATCTTCAAAAGTTAGTTGGTCATAGTTTTTGTTTAAATATTCTCTTAAATTGCCCTCAGACATATAATCCATCACCATCACATAATTATTAGTTTCAGGTTCTTGGGAAATTCCATAGCATCTTACCACTAAACTAAAATTATTTCCATCTACTAATTTAGTATTAATAACTTCTGCTAAAAACCCACTAGTTATGTTTTGGGAGTTATTTAAGCTTTTTAAAATTATTTCTAGATCTTTTCATCTTGCTTTATGCACTTTGCTAAAGCCACCATCGGCTAGGTGTTCGATGTTAGAAAATTGTCGGTAAGGAATTCATTCCAATGCTTGTAACCTATTAGTTGCCTCTAACTGACATTTTTGAATGAATTTATCTATTTGAGTATTACCACTGGTTCAATTGGCAAAGTTAGTTTGTCAAATCTGAACATCACAAACTTGACATCAACTACCATCACCATTAAGTTGCTGACAATTAGCACATAGACCATTTTTTTTATAGTGATTTCTTCATTTTTCACTAATTATTAAGTTGGCTAGTAAAGTTTCCTGTTCAAGAGTTAGTTGTTGATGGCTCCAATCTTTAATTTGCTTAAGTATTTTGGGATTTAATTGCTTTTTGAGATAGATTTGGTTAACAGAATCAAACAGAATAAAATCATTATTTTGCTCTAAGGTTTGGGCTAATGATTTAACTTGACTAGTTGGTCTTGCTCAGTAGGAACAATAAATTTCTATAATATTAGGAGGCAAATATTTTAGTCCACTAGTTAGGTCAGTATTACTAATATGCAATAACTGCAATTGCTTCATATTTTGTAAGGGTTGCAGAGAACCAGTTCAGTGATTATAAATATTCTGCTCAATTTCAGTTTGGCTATAATTACCTAATCATAATTCTTTGCAATTAATAAACCTAGCTAAGTAACTTAAATCTTGGGCGGGTAAGTTATTACTTTGTAAACTAAGACTAGTTAATTTTTCATCATTCAGAGCAGTAAAATCTAAGTTAGTTAGTAAATTATCTCGGCAAATTAAATGCTCTAAATTAGGAAGTTTAGTTGGTAAAGTTAGTTGAGTTAGTTGATTTTCTTGACAGTATAGTTCAGTTAATTGCGAACAATTAGTTAAGTCTAAATTAATGAGATTATTTATTCCGCATCCTAATACTTCTAAATTAGAACAATTACTAACATCTAACTCAGTAAGTTGGTTGTCACCACAACTCAACCCTTTTAAATTAAAACTAGAACTTAAATCTAACTTGGTTAATTGATTATCTCAACATCCTAAGTGTTCTAACTTAACACAATCGGATAAATCTAAACTGGCTAATTGATTTTGCATACAATAAAACTCTTTCAAATTAATGAAACCAGTTAAGTTTAGCTCACCAGTCAGTTTTTTATCTCAAATACCTAAAAATGTTATTTGTTCTCTTTTTTCTTTTGGATAATTCTGATCCAATCATTCTTGAGCATTTACCATAATAGTTATTTTTTAGTCTTTTTAGTCTTAACAAATCTTAACAATTATTTTTTCTTTTAAGAAAAAATTCTTTAATAATTAGGGTGTTTTTTCTTATTGCTACTAATTACTAAGCCAATAATAATTATCCCTCCTACTAAAATACTCCCTCCAATTATCCAAGGAGTTCAATTAAAAGGTTTTTCTTCCTGATTATTTTCTAATTCTCTTAATTTTTTCCTTAAATCCGCTAATTCGGTTTCTTCTTCCGGAGTGCGATTAGTTTTCTGCTCTAATCTCTTTATTTTTCTGCTAATTTGCTCTCTCTCTCTCTCTCTCTCTCTCTCTCTCTCTCTCTCTCTCTCTCTCTCTCTCTCTCTCTCTCTCTCTCTCTCTCTGTCGTTAGGTAAATTAATACCTTTACTTTTTGCTAATTGATTAAGTTCCCGGACTACTTGTTGATAAACGCTTTTAAGTTGATTTTGAGTGGTAAAATCTTTATAGAGTTTACTGGTTAAAGCCAAACTATCAAGATTATGTTTATTGGCTCAAGTATCAAGATTTTTTTTATGAAATTCAGCAAGTTGACTTAAAAACTTAGAATCATGTTGTTCTCAACAGTAAGAGCAATTAAAGTAACTAGCATCATCAGTGCAAGGTTCAATATTTTTATGATGACATATTCTTTTGGGCGGTTTGATTCGAGAGCCACGATATTTTTCTATATCTTTAACCTCATCCAAAGTTTTTGGTGAAGCATTTTCTTTGACGAAGTTTTCTAGCTTTGGTAAATTACCTTTCAAGATGTCAAAATCAGCACTAACCATTCAGTAAGTAGTAAAATTTTCTACATCTTTTTCTTTTAATATTTGATTGATATCAGTTTTTAATTTAGAAATCCTTTGAACATCTTTCACCTCTAAATTTTCGCTTTCTACTTTTGGCTCTAAATCATTTCACAATTGATTAATTTCAGGAAATAATTTGTCAACTTCTTTTTTAATGGATAATTGATATCTTTTAAACTCTTCTTCTCCACAATCTAGATGATAATAAACTAAATGACTGCCTAGATAATGACTCGTCACTTCTCTCTCATATGATTCTTCATCTTTCAAAATTTCTTTTCTGCATTCAAGGCACTGCTTGCTATGTTTGACTTTTACTTTGCTCCACATGATCCTATTATAACTTCTTTTTATCAAAAAAAAAAAAAAAAAAAAACGATCTTTTATTACTAATTTAAAAGTCTAAAAGGCTAACTTTAACTAATCTATTTTGGCTCGTAAATCCGCTACCTGTTTAAATAAATTAGAGATATCACCCTTTATTTCTTGACTTCCATTTGTTTTTAAAGTTACTATTTCTTCTTTTAGTTCATCTAGTGAAGTAATTAAGGAGTTAATACCATTAGTTAGAGTATTATCCAAAACCATTAATGCTTCTTCAATTTTAGGAGTTCTTGGCGATTCGAAACTGCCATCATAATGCATTATGTCTCGGGTATCAAACAACCCTCAAAAATATTCTAAGAATTCTCCTATTTCTATTTCTTCTTCATCTATCCTTTCTACTGTATTAGTCTCTTTGCCTTTTTCATCTAATTTTTTAATTTCCGTTTTCAGTATTGCATTAGAATGATTAGAAATGAACAATGGTCAAAACTTTGGTCTAGTTGGATTATCTTCATCTTCACCTAAAAATTCTTTTTGAAATAATTTTGTATTAAATCTCTTTATTCATTTATTGTCTTCAATATTTAATACTGTGGTATCTATCCAACGCTGTGGAAATTGATTAATGATTCCAAATTGTTCGGCATACTTTTTAAATTCTCCTCAAGTTCAACTAAAATCAAGAGGGTTACTTAATCTACCTTCTCTATACACTGCTGGTTCTACATCTTCTAAGTGATTAGTAGCAAACACTCATAAGTTATTACTTCTCGCAGATTGATCTACTCCTTCTAAGCACTCTTTCAAAAATCTTAGTTTAGTTGGATCATGAGTTAAAGCGTTGTTGCTTATCTGATCAGCTTCATCTACGAAAAGAATATAACGGACTTCCCCATTATCTTCACGCCCAAATCCATAAGTCTCAACTAATGTTCATTCTACTTCACTAATTGTATAAACAAATTTTTTTAAAGGTAATAATTTAGAATCTTGGTCTTCCTTAGTGGGTGTTAATGCCGAACCTTTAATTTCTACTAAGGGATAACGATTAGCTGTATAACAAATGTTTTGTATAGTTCTAGTCTTTCCTGTTCCTGGTGCTCCATAAAAAATAGCATTGTTATCTCTTTTGTTTTTATCGGTTTCACCACGAATTGGATTGTATTCAACTTTTCTAATTCAAGTTTTGATAGTATCAGAAAGAATTAAATCTTCCTTAGGTTTTAACATAAAACAGTTTTCTTGTTCAGCTTCTTTTCCTTTGATATAATGTTCTCGCAAAGCAAACGGAAAATGAATGTTATAACTTGCAGCACGAGAAAAATAAAATTTTTCATTCCGATCACCATCAGGAAAAATAGAAGCTTCCTCTTGATACTTCTTAATTAAAGTGCTAGCAATTTTTTTAACTTCTTTGTCTGCTCAACTGTAAGCGGGTAAATCTCAAACACGACCTTTTAGTTTAGCATCCTCTTGTAATTCTTTTTCTAATTCTTCAAGCGATTTAGCATTATCACTTTGTGAATTTTCATTTTCTTGCTGTTTTTGGTTTTCCGGTAAATAAATGAAAAAGTAATAACCCAAACCTACTAGTAATACCGCTAGTAAGATTTGCTTCTGTTGTTTCTTTTTATCACTCTTCGCAGTTTGTTTATTATCAAAATTGAAATATTTATCTACATTATACATAATGGTTTATTCACGCAATTTCTTAAAAAAAGCCATTTGTCTCATTATTTTTTCCTCTGCCTCTTTTTCTTTTTTATCATCCTTAATTACTTTCTTAT